TGTGTGTGTGTGTGTGGTGTGTGTGTTTTTGTGTGTGTGTGTGTGTGTGTGTGTGTGTGTGTGTTGGGGGGGTACCGGGCTCAGGTGGGTCGGGGAACAGTCCTATAAACCGGCACAGTATAGCGAACCTGGGAAAGAAATGCCGCCTTCAGTAGAGGAAAACAGAGGTGGTGTAGCCCCGAGGCCAGGCATTGGTGCTGGGCACTCGGCATGAGCCTGCGTCCTGCAATTGCACACAGAGCAGGCCTCTGACCTTGACCCTCCATGGCCTGCAGCCTGGAGCGGGAGCCCAGCTCTCCTAATCCTCCCACCCTCCGTTGGTTGAGACAGGGTCTCGCATTAAAGCCCTGGCTAGCTTAGAACTTGTGACATTCCTCCTGACTCCTGGAATAAAGTCGTAAGCCACAGTGCCTGGTCTGTCTCTCCCTTTCAGACTCATCTTTGGCTTTATCTCACCCATCTCTTTCTCCTCACTTGCCTGCTGGTCCGGGATCTGCCTCCCGTGCTGAGGAGTTGTGTTGCCCTCAGGACTGCCATCTGGGGTCTTGTCCGTCTGTTGACAGGATGGGTGTGCGAAGATGACCGGCTCCTGAGGATTGTGCAGCGGGAGCCACTGTGCCTCTTAGTGGTTTCACGTCCTGCCTGCCATGCGCGTATGACTCCTATGCTGCTGTCTCAGGAGCACTTCCACCCCGAGACCTTGCCGATGCACCCAGGCGCACAGCCTTGGTTTTGTCCCTGTGTGCAGCACACAGACCATCTGACCAGATCTTTCCTCTGGCCTGCATGTCAGCCAGCTCTTAGGCTTCTTGGCCTGTGTCCAGCAGCCATGTCTCTCTCCTCACTCATTGCTTCAGAGGGCCTGCCTTAGGGTCAGCTCTGGGGCGCTGCTGTAGAGGGGCAGACTCCACCTTGGCCTTTTAAGACTAGCTTATGAGAGAACTGGAAGAAGGCTCGGATGGTAAAGTACTCACAGGGACGATCTGAGTTCAACCCCCAGGACCCCCGGGAGATGGCGGGTGAGAGTGCTCGCTGCCTTTACAGAGGAGTCCAGTTCAGTTTCCAGCCTTCATGTCAGTCAGCTCACCACTGCCTGTAACTCCAGCTCCAGGGGTCTGGATACCCTCATCTAGTCTCTGAAGGCTCTGCATTCATGAGCACAAACTCTTACACACATAATTTCAAGTAAAAATTTAAAAACAAAAGCCAGGTGTGGGGGCACACCCTTGTAATCCCACCGCTGGGGGGGGGGGAGACAGGTGGATCCCTAGGGCTTGCCTGCCAGCCTAGCCTACTTAATGAGCTCCAAGCCAGTGAGAGACTCTGTCTCAAAAAACAAAGTGAGGTCCCTGAGAACAACAGCTGGGCCTGTCCTCTGACCCCGATGCCCACGCACACTCGGGCAACTGCCGACACATAAACATACCGCAGAGACCCAGGATCCAACCCTGAAAGTCTAGAATGGCACCCTGCTCTGGACCTTCAGGGGAGACTAAGGAGTGACTGGGTGGTACCTCTTCAGCACCAGCACTCACCAGCAACCCCAGTGTTTTGCCGGCCCTGACTCCGGCAGACGATCGCTGCACCGGCTCTCAGTTCCACAGGCCTCAACAGACCTCCTCTTTGTTGTCACAGCTCCCTCTGCTGCACTGTATACACCGGATGTTTGCCTCCCAGACTGAGGGGGAGCTCAAGGTGACTCAGATTCTCAAAGAAAAGTTTCCCCGAGCCACAGCTATCAAAGTCACAGACATCTCAGGTGAGGCTTTCTTCTATCTTCTCTGTGGAGCCTTGCTGATGCTTTTTGAGTTTTTGCCTGGGGAGAGGCTGAATTCAAAAGGCTGGGAGGAGGGGACCTGCCATAGTGACTTCTTCATAAGTCAAAAGGCTGGGAGGAGGGGACCTGCCATAGTGACTTCT